CCACCTCAGCCTCCTGAGAACCCAGGACTACAGGAACTTGCCACCATGCCCAGCTAATTTCAAAACTTGTATTGTAGAGGTGGGGTCTCACTATGTTGCCCAGGTGGTCTCAAACTCCTGGCCTTAAGTGATCCTCTCTCCTCAGCCTCGCAAAGTGCTGGGATTGCAAACATGAGCAACCATACCCAGCCTACCTCACTTTTTAGGTCATCCTTTCTTTCCTATCATTTCAATTTCTTCTGCTTCACAAAAAGTCAATTTGTTTGGCTTCCTACAAATTTGAGCAAGCAATTACTTGCTTAAAGTTATAGTCTTCAAAGATGACAGAAATGAAATTTACTATGTATTTTTCAAGGGCAAATGGCCCTTGAAGGGCCTATAAAAGAGAGGCATGGGTCATGTTGTCCCATGGTTGCTAAACGATATTCTTGGCTCTGACCCTGCCCCACCTGTGATCATGTCACTATAAATTAAATAACGTTATCTCCGATATGAAGAATGAACAGCTATTCACCTGGGACAAAGAGAAAGCAAGAATTTTAGTATTTAAAAACAAATTAAAAAGAAAACTCCCAATTGCCTCTGTTTGTTCTCTGATGGCAAAATTTAGAGGAAAAAAAAAATGAGTGATGCAAAACAATGTTTGCAAAGGTCGGCCAGGAATGCGCTAGAGGAGGGCGCAGGTGGAGTCAGGAGAGGAAGTGGGTGTGGTGCTTTTGTCCACACACAGAAGGGTGTTTAGAGGCAGTCCTCAAATTGAAGGCACAAGGCTTGACTTAGGGAAAGGCAGCAGCGAGCACCCCTGAGGAAAGCTCTTAGAGAGCACAGGGAACTCAGAAGTGGCCTTTACTTGCCCCTAAGTCCAGCTGCAGAGAGGACGGCGAGGTTTCCAAGCCACCGTGTGAGTCTCCAGGAGCACAAGGCTCTTCCTCTGCATGCGCCTCTGGCCTCCAGGGGTGCTTGCTGGAGGTCTGGCTCCCGGCTGGGCCGCGAAGAGCCGGGCCCTGTCCGCCGCAGCCCGGCCGGCGGTGCGCAGAGCAGGGCGAGCGCCCGGGCCCAGCCAGGCGGCCGTGTCCTCCCGTGCGCTCGGCTGGGGAGAGGATGAGCTCATTTTAGTAGGAGGAAAGCACAACCGTTCTTAGCATTTGGGCGTCAGAGGTGATCCTGGGCACGTTCTCCATCCTTTATGCGCCTCCGTTCCCTCTTGTGGAGGCTGGGGAGGGTCCCGGCGCCCGCGCGAGTCGCTGGTCACCACAATTGCGAAACGCCCAGCGGTGCCTGGGACGCAGTGAGTCCTCATCTGCATCCGTGACTTGGGCGTGGTGTGCCCTGGGTGACGGGATGGGGAGGGACGAGACCCGGGGGAGGCCACGGAGCGCCCGACGGCCCTGCGGCTGGAAGGCGCCCTGCGCCCTCGCCCGCGGCCTGGCTCGCCGTCCAGGCTGCCCGCACCGGTGCCCGCGGAAGGCGGTATTTGGTTGTTTCTTTCAGTTTTGGCTAATTTATCACCAAATCACGAGCAAAGTATCATTTAAAAACACAAGAAAATAGAGCTTACTGCTTACTTCCATTGCTTTAAAATATTACATTAGGTCAATAAAAAATTTAATACTAATTTACAGCTCTCGTTTCCTAGTATCTCAAGGTGATATCAACACAAAATTACTTTTGAAATTTCTTAAGAAAGGAATTATAAAGTTCTAACGAGAAAGGGAAAATTCCAGCTCACTGGGAAGCCGTAGGTGCCTGGGCGCCGCGGGCCTCCGCGCGACAGGTGTGCGGAGGCCGGAAGAGGCCCCTGCGGCGCCTGGCGCTCTGCGGGCGGGGCGGTCCCGGCCCTCCGTGGCTCTGCGCCGCGACCACTGCTTCCTGGAATACTCAGGGAGTTCACGACAAAGGCCAAGGATATTATGTGATTTATCCAAAGTTGCACAGGCCTGAGGCTATCAAATGAGTCCGAGATGCAGGGCCCGCAGACGCGCTGCTGTGCGCGGGAAGAGTGTTGCTGTGAGAGTCCTCCGCGCCCAGCTCCACAGTGCTCAGCCATTTGCGTGGGGTAAATATCACTAGAACAAAGAAAGTAGTCAAATCTGTTGGCTTCAAAGCTGACCTTCTTTGAATCTCTAGTCTCTTTGAGTCTTTGAGTCTCTCCAACTATTCTTTGAGCTTTCTGTTGTCAAAATACTATTTGACTAGAGAAAATCCTTGCTTTATGTAACACATGTAATGTTTGCACTTCGGCAAGTCAAGATGTTCTGTAGATCACAAACACAGAGAAGTAAAAATATGGTAAAAAGAAAACCTACCTTGTCTGGAGAAGAGCTGGAGGGGTTTCCAAGGAGACAAAGGGAGAGATTCCAAAAGAGAGAGAGACCAGAAGTTGAGGCAATAGGCCCTGCTAACCGCATGCCAATGCCCTGATTGTAGGATGGAGCTGGATGCATAGAAAACTCACAGAAACCCAGAAAAGAGGTGGCAGAGCCCCAAACACAATAAGGCATTATCTGACCTACTGGTGTGCAGCCTAGAAGATAAAAAGCCATTTACAAAGGTGCTGCCACCCAAACAGCTACTAAGTCATATTTCAGAATCTGTGATGAGCCTGAGATGCTGCAGGCCTGGGGGACCTACAGAAGTCAGGAGTTTGATCTCCGTGCCTTTGGAATATGAAGATTTCCAGACTGGATCCCAGTTAGATGCTGGCAGCAGAGCCAGATGATGCTTCCCAGATCCAGATGATAAAGGTACTGGATGGAAGATGGAGTGGAAGATGGAGCCCTGAGCTGAGGCCCTGTTCCATATGCCTTCACAAGGTCCTGAGGGTTCCCACTTTCTGGATGCGGTTGTTGAGACAACAAGGAAAAGGAGGAAGACTTTGAAAGACTAAGTACCTGCAAAGAATCTGAACTAAGTTGGAACAGACAGTTTTAGATAAATTATTATTTTTAAGGCATAAGCTAAGTTTTATACACACAACCACATCATCATGGCCTGCCTCTACCCAGCATCCTTTTGGGGATGAAGAGAAAGGTTAGATCAGTGGGTCCGTTGTTGGAAGTAAGGCTACCTTTCCCTGGAGGAATGTCAGAATCCCCAGGGATACTGGCAGCACCGACACATGGGACCTGGCCTTTCAGCTGTATGGCAGGCATTTGAGTAACAGCAGCCTAGGGCCCAGTGACGGTCCATGCATGCATTTTGTTTGACTTTCAGTATGCGTAGCAGATGCCATACCTAAAGCATTTGAATTCGTTCATAAGTAGATCTGGATTCTGGGCTTTTGCTGACATCGTAAGACTATCTGGCAGGACTCGGCTGGACTGAGAAATAAGCGCCTTCTAGTGAAGGCCTCGGTGGAGACACTCTGCATGGTGCAGCGGGCCTTTTGGTTTATATAACAAAAGTAATGTTAGCTAGCTGCAAAGGTCGTAGTTTGCGTTCTAGCTAAGATCTCGGGTGACGGTGCAGGAAATACTGTGGGGCAAGCACAGCATGTAGCAGCTGTGATGAGGTTTCTCAACTGGATGAGATTTTGCTTGCTGACCCCTAGTACCCCAAGGATATCTGACTATTCTTGGAGACATATTTGGTGTCACAACTGGGAATGATGTCATTGGCATCTAGTAGTAGGCAGAGGCCACAGATGCAGCTAACCGTCCTGTAATATTCTGGGCATATCCCCACCAAGGAAATATCATCCCAAAGTGTCAGTAGTGCCAAGGTTGGGAAATCCTGGGTTAGGGCATAGCATAGTGGAAAGGTTTTGCCTGTAATTAAAATTTTTCTAGAGATGGTATTAGCAACATGCAGCCTTTCTATGGTATGGTCCTGATGCCGTTCTGTAGATTCACATACTCTACCTCTGTTATTCAGTCAACAAACGTTCATTTGTGTATCTACCCATGAGTGCCGTGCCCAGGGAACGAAGGTGGACTAAACCCTATCTATGTCCAGGTTGTTCTTGAGGAAAATATAATTTGGAATAATGAATGACTTTCGGCTTTATCTTACATTTAGTTTTGTACAAGTCAGTAGGTAAGAGGTTTCTACCAGTTTCACGATCGGTGGTGCTGTCTGTTTAACAAACACAAACTGCTGATTTTCTAAAACCACTGGTAAGAGTACATTTCTGTCGATAGGAATTCAGCGGTTGAAAACTCTGGAAGTAGCTACAGACGCAGGAGAACGAGTTTTGTCCCCAAACTGCTCTTCACATATATGTGGCAGCGGACAAGCTGCAGAACTGTCTCCCTCATCCGTAAGGTTCCTTCCACATTTGCTCTTCCAACCCTAGGATCCTCCAGTGACTTTTATCCGTGTGACAAAATCTCAATTCTTTCTTCCTCAGTTCTCTGGAGGTTATGAGCTCCATTTTTCCTCAGCCATCTTTTCCCCCAGAACATTATGGGGGTGCACACGTTTTGGTTACATAATTTGCTTTTGTATAATTGGAGTCAAAGTTGTAAGTGTGCCCTTTACCCAGACAGTGTGGACTCACACCGATACTTCAGCCGAATAGGAAGCATTTCCTTTTAACATATCATAGCAGTGCTTTGAGTATACTTATTTAAAGTAAAATTCATCTTTTTTTCTAAGTAGATTCTTTTCAAATTTTAAAGTTTTTATCAGAAACATTTCTTTATTAAATATCTCAAAATCTGAAATTAAAATTTTGAAACTTAGCAACCTCCTTTATTTCTTATTTCAAATGAGTCATCACATTTTGTGAATTGCTTCCTATTCTACAATGTATACAAGAAATATGTGTATGCCTAACAAATTTGTAACCTTCACTATGGGCAGTTATTTTAATATTTGTGTAAAAACTAATGTATGTTATTTGAGACTTTTAAATTCTGCTGTATAGTTTCCACTGGCTGCTTTTTGGACTGAATAGTCATTGATGAGCATTGGAAAGTAGAATCAAATACACATAGAGAATAATAAGTTTTAATGTATTTTTATTAACAATATCTTTTAAGTATTTTAATTTTCTCAATGTCTTTTCAGAAGAATTGAAGGGGAGAATGAATATTTATGGAGTATTTACTGTACAGTTTGCTACGCAGACCCTGATATGTTTTGGTTCTGTCAAATTTCAGAAAAGGAAACCAGGCCGTGTGAGGTGAGTAACATGCTCGGGGCTGAAAAGTCCCGAACAGCTGAGGTTCAGACAGGTTTCATTGACTTCTAAGTCCATCGTCTTTCTGTGGAGGAACAAAGTTCAAACCGTAGGAACTTAATAATGTATTCTTACATTACACATCACTGGAAATCTGCTCACCCCGTCTCCTAAAAAAACAAACAAAAAAAGTCTTTCTGGAACCAGAAAGTCCTAATCTCTAAACAAAAGATATTATTACCATAAGGATTTCCCCAGAGTCTGCATTTGAATGTAAATTTTTGACAGTTCAAAAGCTCCAAAAATCTCTTTTAAAATAATCGAATTTATTTTGTCACATATGTTACACAAAAGAAAGCACTCTTTTGCCCAAGTCGTAGGTCTAGAGGACTACCTGGACGGGTAAAGGGCTTCATTCAAGCCTCCACCTATGTCAGGTGGGCAAGCCCTGGATCCCTGGGGAGGACCCAGAATGCCACTGTCCCCAGAGTGAGACTCCTTGAACTTTGTGGGACATATTTCAGTGAGAGTTTGGTGGAGTCTAGCTAAGGGATATTTGCTTTGCATTTTGGTTGAATGTCTGCTAGAGAACCTGATCTCCTGCTGATGCTAGCAGAGCCAGTCTTCACACAGCAGTTGAGATTGCGCTCTTGACCCATCAGTACTCCTCCCATCCTTACGACTGTCCCTCCTTACCCAAGAAAAGTGAGCAGTTCGCCTGCATCTTGGTCCAGCTCTCTCTCGTCGTGCTGAGTCCCCTTCCATTCCTGGGGTCACACACATCTGCTAATTACAAACAATAAAACCCTACTAAAATACAGTGTACGAAAGTAGAAAAATAAACCACTTTCAGTCTCAGTAGTATTTTGTTTTATAATTAGAAAACTAATATATGTTCACTATATGAAAAAAACGGTGAGGATGCAATGTTATATACTAGATACTATGGACCATTTAAATCTTACATGTCAGTAATTGAAGCTTAATTTTGCTTTGGAAATAAAATAATAGCACATGTGAGCTCATTTGGAAAAATCCATTAAAATATATAAAAGACTAACTGGGAGGAATAAAAAATTTATACTCTCAGAGATTAAAATATTAATGCTGAAACATATTAATATATGTTTCCAGGATTTTCTCTGGATATCTAATTCTTACTCTTTTTAAACTGAATTTGGATTGCATTTTTAAGTTTTGATATCATAATACTATCCATGTAGTAAGAATTTGTGTATATTGGTAAATGCTTGTTGTATGGCCCATGATCTGAGAAGGTTTTTTACATTTTTAAATAGTTGAAGAATCAAAAGAAGATGACATTCCATAGCAGATAAAAATTATAAGAAATTCAAATTTCAGTGTGCATAAATATAGTTTTATTAGAATGCAACTGTGTTTGTTCATTTACATATTGTCAATAGCTACCTTCATACTAGAGCAACAAAGTTGATTAGTTGAATTAGAAACTATATGGCCTACAAAGCCTAAAATATTTATTAACTAGTATATTACAGAAAAATTTTGGTGACACTGGCTCTAACCACTTAGATTTAAGAATACTGGGCATTATGACTCATCTTCTCATACTTGATTGGCCATAGGACCAGGAGGAAGCCTTATGTATTAGTCACTCTAGACCTTATTCTTATTTCTAATAAAGAAAGCTCAAGCATCTAAGATTTCGGATAAGGACAGGCACACATGATTATCATACCATTTAATAGCGATTAAACCTGTAACAGCAGAAGAGATATTTAGCTCATTTCCCAGTGCCATGCAACCATTCGAGTACCTCTAAAGAATGGAAGTGAAATCTCTTTCTCACAGCGCCTCACCTCTGATAATAAAATCCAGTGGAGTACATGAATACTGGCAGTCTTCAATACATGATTTGTCTGGTGTTCAATACCCCCAATAGAATCTATAAAGCTTAGAACACGATATTTCTACCAGTCATAGTTCGTTATTTTCAGGGGATCTGTAGAATTAAACCGATGCTGGGAAGGGGTGGTTGAGCAGATGTGGGAACCTTCGCTACACGTAGCACGACTGAGATGCGTAGCTGCCTGCTAGCTAGAACCCTGCATCCATGACGAGCCAGAGTTTGAAAAGGGGACGTTAGGGATGCAGTGTCTCCTACCAAAACTTTCAGTTCTTTGTGTATTATTTTAATATAGCAAAAGTGTGTTATCAGGCAATTGTGACAAAAAAATCAGGCAATTGTAGTTCTCATTTTATTCCTATATGTATTTCAACCTGTAGAAATTTCCTCCTGTGTTCTAGTAATTTTTATGAAAGTCCTATTTTTTTATTCTTATGAGATTTTTTTTTTCATTTTTCAGAGATATTTTTTGTGGAAAGCTGAGAGGTCCTTGAATATGTTAAAAGGAAGCAAGCCAATAATTTCTAACATAAATTAATTGAATAGGCTGTTCTCAGGTGTCCCATAGACCTTGAATTTCTATAAAACAATAGGATTAGTGATTGGAAATGTAGATGGGGAGAGTACAAAAGGACGCGCACATAACATGCTGACCGCTTAGCTGGCTGACGTGCTGACGTGCTGACGTGCTGACGTGCTGACGTGCTGACGTGCTGACGTGCTGACGTGCTGACGTGCTGACGTGCTGACGTGCTGACGTGGCTGCCTCGGGAAAAGTCTCCTGGAGATTTTGACCTGGGCTTGCCAATGGTACAGACAAATTGGTAGGGAAGGGAGCACTGCAGAGAGGCGTGACAAGGAAAGGGATATGAGAATGAGATTTGGTAGGTGAGTGGGTTGGGAAAGGAAGAAGTAATTCATTAACAAAATTCCCCAAAACTATTTTGAAAATTCTTATCCAATTTACACATAAAAACCATGAGAATACAAATCATATAGAATTCTGAATTTAAATGTCTGTTTTTAGTACTGATGGGTTAAAATTTCAGACTCTACTTGTTAATGGCCTCCAGCCCACTACCAGGAGCCCACCTCTAGCTGAAAAGATTGGGTTTATTCATCATCACAGAAATGGGAAAATGGGAAGAAGGAAACCAGAGTCACATTGAAATTTTGCTTCCCATTCGATGCTAGGTAAAGTAAGATTTGCTATATTTCAAATTTCATTAGCCTGTTCCAGTAATTATGGTTTGGCTATTCTGTGTATAGCAGGAACCAAGTGGTCCAGACCTCCAGCTCTCAGCAAGCATAGACTTTATAATGTATAGCAAATTGGTGGTCGTGGTACACTTAAAACATACATAATTTGATGGCTGCTGTAGCAGAACATTAACTTAATTGACATCCTAAAAGAGTAAATACTAATATTATTGGCCAAGGTTTTTATTTTTTTTTCTTTTATTTCAGAGTATTATTGTGGTACAAGTGCTTTGGTTACATAAATTGCCTTTGCACCCCCCAAGTCAGAGCTACAAGCGTGCCCATCTCCCAGAGAGCACGCACCACATCCATTAGTTGTAAATTTACCCCACCCCTCCTCCCCTTTCCATCTGCCTGACAACATATGAATGTTACTTCACATATGTGCACATTAGGGTGATCGATTAGTACCAATTTAATGGTGAGTACATGTGGTGCTTATTTTTCCATTCTTGTGATACTTCACTTAGAAGAATGGGCTCCAGCTCTATCCAGCATAATACAAGAGGTGCTAGATCACCATTGTTTTTTGTGGCTGAGTAGAACTCCATGGTGTACATATATCACATTTTATTAATCCACTGATGCATTGATGGGCACTTGGATTGTTTTCACATCTTTGCAATCGTGAATTGTGCTGCTATAAACATTGGAGCATGGATACCAAGGTTTTTAAAGTTGACAAAAGTTGTGAGTAGATCAGATAAATGAAACATAATTAGCAAAAAATTTGGTGGATTTTTTTCTTCCAACCAAATCTACCAGACATTTATTATTAACCCTTCTGCCAGGACTCCCTAACCATTCCCAGACTCAGTGATCAGGTAGGAGGACTCACAGGACACAGTGTTTAGTATTAGATGACTATCATTTATCACAGCAGGATGACACAAAGCAAAGCCAGAAAAGGGAAAGTGCACACTGGGCAAAGTCCAAAGGAAAAGAAGCACAGACTTCCAAAAGTCCTCTCCAGGGAAGACACACAGGGCACTGCTCATTCCTCCAGCAATGAGTTGTGATAACAAATACAAAATATTTTCTACCAGATGAGCTCCAGTAACCGGGGTTTCCAATGGAGGCTGGTCACATAGGCGCCCTTTGCTTGGCACATACCAAGGTGGGTGGTGGAGCCCTCACTCCTTTTTTTATTTTAGAATATCATAACATAACATATTTTATGTGTGCTATGTCAACAAAATTACCTAAATTAAAATTTATTAAACTATGGAGGTCAGTAAAATTTCATCTTGCCATGAAATCCTAAAATGATTCTATGAATAAAGTAAGTATTAATAAACAACAAAAGGATGGCATCTATTCATAGTGAGAGCTTTTCGGTCTGACTATTTCATGGGGAAAAAAGTTATGATTTAATTACATCTGACAAGATAAGTGTAAGGAAAAAGAGAATTATCAAAACCAGATTCTGAAATATGAATGTATTCTCCACGAGCTAAGGGATAAGTGTCTGGAGTTATTCTCTCACGGTGATTTGAAGTCATATTGGGAGCATGTTTACAGTTATTTTGTGTCTGGGGTGTGCAGGCAGCACACTTGGCGGCACTGGAGTATCAGTTGCAGACAGTATGATATTTTGTTTAACATCTTCACCTGCTTCTGTTTGGGAAGAACCACATTCAGCCCATGTCTCCTTGTGTACATCAGTAATAATTGATTTTGTTTCACCAACAGCAAGATAGTTTCCTTGGCATTAATGATTCTAAAACCTTCACATCACTCTTTTGTGGCAATCAATAAAAGTTCACCTCAAGCAAAGTAAGCCTTAGAGCAGGTAATCACGCGACACCCACTGACTGGATTAGGCTCCCTGTTTTTACTGAGCTCTTCCATTTTCCTGCTGTCAGACAAATTAATTAAATTTACAGACTGATCTTGTGCATTAGTCTGGGTTTTTATATGATGAATTTTATATTATATCCTATTTCTCTGGGTACTGGATATAAAATAGTGGAAAAGACGTGGTCCCTGCCCAGTGGTGGAGCGAGACAGACACGTAAACAGACACTTTTAATGGAGTGCAATAGATTCTATGACACAGATGACGAGTGGGCTCTATAAAAGCCCGAAAGATGAGTAAGTTTTAATATGTATACTCCATCATTTTAAAACTGTACATAGATATGCTTTTTTAAAAAAATCCTTGAGAATATTTTAAAACGGAACTGCTTATTTAGCTACCAAATGTCAATAGAATGTTTATGGAGTAATCTTTCATCACACTGAGGAGAGGGCATAAGAAAAGCCAATTTAAAAATGACTTCAAATCACTTCTAGCTTGGCTGACAAAGAGGGCTCCCTAGAGACTATTTGAATCTACTTCCCCTTTTCCACCACATAAAGCAATGATCTTCTCGGGCAGTTTTTTGATTACCTTCTCTGCTGTGCTAACTCGTTGTTTTCCTTTATAGATCTCTCCATGCCGGCATGCTACTTTACGTATCCTTTAGATTTGGGTGAATGCTTTTACTCAAGTTAGGGATGCTCTGTTCACAAAATTCACACATCAAGGCCACAGCAATTAGGCAGCCTTAGCAGTGGTCTGGGAACGGGAATAATATTGGCATAAAAACATTGAAATTATAACAAAAATAATACAGAATATATTTGTAATTATGGAAAATGTGGGAGTACATGAGAATTGAGACAATGCTTTAGAAAGTGATTAAGGATAAAGGTTATCCATTATCCAAACTGGTCTTCCTTTTTTTAAAAATAAAACAAAGAAGTTCTAGATAGATGATAATGGTAGACATATATAGGTTTTGCTTTTGTTTTTTCAGTTTCCCGAATGTCTAATTTAAAAAGCCAAAATGAGTAGACAGCAAAAACAAAACTACAAGGCTTCAAAAAAAAAAAAAAGAATTAAGTGACAAGATACCTTCACAAACCTCAAAGTACAGTAGATAGAGAAAATCCTTCACACCTACATGCTACGTGCTATCAGTTTCTGTATGGCAAGAATCAAAAGGAAGAAATTATGTGGATGATAAACCTAACTAAAAACCCACAGATTATGAGATAAGCATGAGGCAGGTACAGTAACCTTCCTAAATGTTTCATAGTTCTCCCTGTAGAGGTCTTTTACCTCCTTAGTTGAATATATTCCTAGGCACTTTATTTTCTTTGTTGCTATTGTGAAGGGTACTGAGTCTTTGATTTGGTTCTCAGTTTGACTGTTATTGGCATATATGAATGCCTCTGATTTGTGTGTATTGATTTTGTATCCTGAGACTTTACTAAATTCATTTATCAATTACAGGAGTCTCTTGGTTAAATCCTTGGGGTTTTCTAGATACAGTATCATATCATCAGCAAAGAGTGAGGGTTTGATCTCTTCTGCTCCCATTTGGATGCCCTTAATTCTTCTCTCATGTCTAATTGCTCTAGCAAGGACTTACAGCAATATGTTGAATAGAAGTGGAGATAGTGGGCAACCTTGTCTGTTTCCAGTTCTAAGTGGGAATGCTTTCAATTTTTCCCCATTCAGTATGATGTTGGCTGAAGGGTTGTCATATATGGCTTGTATCGTTTTTAGGTTAGGTCTGTCTATGCCTACCTATTTTGTTAAGCATTCTTATCATAAAAGAGTGTTGAATTTTATCAAATGCTTTGTCTGCATCTATTGAGAGGATAGTATGGTTTTTGTTTTTGCTTTTATTTATGTGGTGAATTACATTTATATAGTTGCATATGTTGAACCATCCTTGCATCTCTGGAATAAAGCCCACTTGGTCGAGATGGATTATTTTCTTGGCAAGCACCTGGATTCAGTTTGCTACGATTTTGTTGAAAATTTTTGCATCTATATTCATAAGTAATATTGGTCTGTAGTTTTCTTTTTTTGTTGCATCCTTTCCTGGTTTTGGTATCAGGGTTACATTTGCTTCATGAAATGCATTGGGGAGGATTCCATCCTTCTCAATGGTGTGGAATAATTTCTGCAGGATAGGCACCAGCTCTTCTTTGTAGGTGTGGTAAAATGTGGGTGTGAAACCATCTGGTCCAGGACTTTTCTTTATAGGAAAACCTTCCTTATAGGGCAATATCACTTATCTCCAGTGAGAATGGGCTTTATCAAAAAGTCCCAAAACAACAAAAGTTGGTGTGGATACAGAAAGATAGGAACACTTCTTGCAGTCCCACCAGTCCTACACTGCTGATGGGACTGCAAACTAGTACAACCTTTGTGAAAAGCAATATGGAGATGCCTTAAAACAATACAAGTAGATCTACCATTTGATCCAGCAATCCCATTACTGGGCATCTACCCAAAAGAACAAAAGACACTCTATAAGAAAGACATCTGCACTCGAATGTTTATAGCAGCACAATTCACAATTGCAAAGATGTGGAA